GAAGCAAAGAATTATGATGTGGTTGTGTCTTCAAAAAATTTGCATCTTTAACAGGTTTATAATTATAGTTAGTTTTAGATAGCCTGGTTTTAAAGAGTGTAATCCTATATTTTGTTCCTGAAGTAAACTATATCTTCAAAAGAAGATGATACTTGGGAGTACTGGCGGTAACAAAAAGTAATTAGTCAGAACAGCCCAGAATCGGCAGCTGACGCTGGTGTATTGGCTGTTTGCAATCAGCATCGTTCACGTATTATGGAACAGTTATTCGTTTGAATTAAAGGAATGACCTACGTGTAATAATATATTTTCTTCTCAATGAATCCATTGAGGGCCATGTATTCTTGGAATTGTGTTCGGTAGCTAAGGCACCCGATGTATTCATTGACTGCCCTAGGTGCAAGACCCGGTGTTTTCATGGACAGCCCTAACTTTGGTCTATAATGAATGAAATATCGGTGTGTCCTTCGGAGCCAACAGATCAACGATAGTGTCTGTGGTTAGGCCAGAGCTGCAGCTCTGAGTACCAGTCATCTGAGTACACAGAATAATATAAGCAGCTGTTGACGTATTTAGGGAGCAATGAACGCTAAGCTTGGAATACCGCTATTGCCACAACGTCCTGATGCGACTTTCGACGACACATATCAGATATACCTAAAGCAACAGCAACTTATGTCACAACTGTAGTTTTTGAACCCTGAAACTCAGTTGTGGCTGGAAATCACTCGTTCCGTTTTCGTTGGCGACTCTACATACTATGTACTATGTCTACATACTATGTAACAACAGACGGTGCGCCCCTGCCATAGAATCTTTGGATTGAATAATATTTGTCGATTGCGCAACTAGTAACACCATTACGTGAAACACCCATGAAGCGCAATACGTGTTTCAGGCACAGTTAGGCTGCCGGGCTATTGTACACAATGTTAGACACATGCTGTGAGAGGCGACCCTATATTGTCCTAGAAGGTNTACACCTCTTTTTTACTTGTGCCTTTCAGGTGAATGACAACCAGTGACCGACGAGAAGAAAACCGACCCACACATCTTGGGCAAAAGCCTCGATCCTGCATATCCATTCGTGAATCTGTTAATGAATGCGTATTTTAACCTGCAACACCGGCGGGTGTTTTGATTTGAATCTGAGGGCGGGGTGGTTGTGACTGTTGATATTTTCCCCATCGTATACGAGTCGCTGTGTAGGATCACAAACGTAACCTTGAATAGTTGTTCGGTAAACATCGTAAATGAATGCTTTTGTCGTGTACGCTCTGCTTGCGCGATTGCGTGATGATTCGCACTTGCATTTGCTTTTGACTTTTCGAGTCCCTGTGTAATTTTGAAATATCGCTATTGCCATAGCTTTTCGATTTTTCACTTTTGTGACCTACGAGGAGCTCACTGAATAAGATCGTCACCTTATGATGGTTTATGCGCGCTGTAATTATTTTTAAGTGTTTGTTTTGGTTACACTCCGTATTTGCCCAAGGTGTAATGTTTTTATTGTGCATACTCCGGTAACTTACGCGGTTTCTGCACGCTCGCGCTGTGAATGCCGATAATTGTCGACCAAACCAGTGATACCTAAAGTGCCATCCAGCGGCTACACAATTTCAAGTGAGGGATTTGTCGTTCAGGTCCGATGCGTATGAGACGAATTAACGAGAGACCGTTTACGAGGTTGCTTGCCTCTGGAACCTCGACGGTAGAAATGCTCTCGGGACGTTCACTCACAGGCACCGAGTATTTGAACGATATTACTCACCCTAGTTTATTTCCTTCAAAGGTGCAAATCATCCTTAATGACGTAAGTAATTCTGCGACATGCGCCTAGCACCTTCAAAGGGCTAAGTCATGCTCCGGAAAGTACAGTCTCTGAACGCACCCCGTACAATTCAAGGGAAGTCACCGGAGGTTGTGGAGAATTTTCCAAACTTCGGTAGTTGTATTAGCTCTGACGAAAATGTGTCCGGCGAAGTCAGTGCAAGAATTTCAGAGGTTCAAACCACTTTGTCTAATTTGCGTCGCTCATGGCGTCCAAAAAGATGTATCACTGGATGTTAAAGGTCGCATGTACCAGACCACGCCAAGGGCTGCGTTGTATAACTGCGAGACGTGGCCTCTTTGGATGGTGTGAGGTGTCTTCAGGATTTTGACCATCGACGCCTCAAAATCGTTACTGGTTTTTTGATGGTAACGGGATGATCAGAAAATAGATATTTGTTTCTGCATCAGGTACTTTAATTGCGGAGGACACCCAGCACCACCGACTACGATGGCTCGGTCATTTGTTACGCATCCCGAAACACCGTCTGCCAAGACGAGTGTTCCCCGTGTCTCCTTCAGAATGGCGCAAATTGCGAGGTGGACAACGTATGACTTGGTGGAAGGGCGTGAAAGAGATTACAAAGAGTTTAGTTGCACACCTTTGGTGGGTGTTGTACGACTTCCTGGATAGGCTCCCCGTTACCTCACCAGCGCTTGGCTGGAGGGATTGCAAGAAATGGCGGCTGATCGATGTCAGTGGCGTTCGTGCCGTCACTTTCTTCCCAGACTGTCTGATTAAGCGCTTGGAGTTGTAGGCACCTCAGAATGCTTGACGTAGACCAGCACTAGGTCCCCGCCCTCGCCCACTGTTTCTCTTCTTCCCACTCTAAAGTTCGAAATACAGTAAGATGAACCTTATGGTTGTATGGTAGCGAAGCATCGGTGTCACCATTTATGTTGCTCTCTCCGGTGATAATAATGATTCTGCCGCGCGGTGTGGCATGTGCTTCACGCCTCCAAAGTGTAGGGTGCTACTGCAAGACTGGATGGGATAAAACCTAAACCTCATGTTTGCTGGCGAACCAATCAACGTGGGAGATAAATTTGTTCACCTGGACACTCGTATAAGTTCCGGTGGAATGGCTGGAGATGAGGATACTTCTCAAATTGGGATAGCCAATCTCCAGACACCTATGGCACGCACGTGCCGTCAGTTTGCCTGTCAAGGACAAAGTTTACACCGCAGCAGTGCGATCCATATTTCTTTACGGATCTTTCTTTACGGTAACTTGGCGTGTGCGCACAGAGAAATACGTATTCTATGCGTTTGCTAATCGACTTCTCCGCAGCACTAACCGGGGATAGTACTACACAGAATTAGCAGCGCTGAAGTACAACACATGGTTTTAGGAAGAAGGGACTCGCACGATGGATGGGCTACTCACGCTGGTTAAACAATCGGTTGCGCTGGTTAAACATGTACTCCGCATTCCAGAAGGCCCTCTGATTCGCAGAGTTTTCCCGCTCAGCCATGCGCTGAATGGAAGCAACGAAGAATTAACAGTGTGTAGCCTGGCAGCGAAGAACAAAAACACTAACCAGTTGATTGAGTTAGGTCAATAACTGTCTCCAATTTAGATAGGACCCGCAGGACTCAACTCACTAATGCTTAGTGACGCTGTCAGAAATGGCCCATTCGCGCAGTCAGTTGCGCTCCTGCATCAAAGCTATCGCATTCAACACATCTACCGAATTCCGGAACTAACATTGCTTCGGCCCCAGTGTTTTTCTGTATGTCTCACACTCTCCCACGGCAGTGAAGAATCGGTGTTGAACACTGATATCCTGCTGTCGATGATGATGATGATGACTCTCCCACTTTCTGGCGGTCGAAACTGTGGCAGCTGGAACCAATGTACCCATGTTACACGGCTTATAGCTGACAAACTGAAATGAATAGGTTCCTGTTTGATTTACGTTGTTTTCTAAAAGACTCGAATGCTTACCAAAGTAGCGCAGAGAGTCACTAGTTAGTTTGGACGACAGTTCACCTTGCTACTGACTGCGCTTGTCTGATTCTAGTAAACTATCCCCGAATAACCTCGTGGGTCTTCTGGTGGAACCACCAGAGCTCACCAGTGCATGACCATATTCCGGACGTGTGAACCAATGTGAGCACCAATCTCTCACCATTTTATCTGTTTTGAGCAATTAACGGGTAGGTTTGGATTTTAGGTTATCTTGTTGGGAAAGTCTTACGTGATCTGGCTTTTCCATCCGACAACAAAGAAATCACGTATAGAATGATCTGCGAACTCTTGACCAGAGATGCCAATTATTTGACTTCCATTCTAGCTTCCCTACTGCTGCGGTTAAGGCCTATGTGACTTGGCGGTGTCTCGTTCCTATTGTCCGTTATGGGTTACATGCGTTTAATGTAAGGAAAACTCAGCTGAGTAATTTGATTTTTGAACTGATGCCTTTTGAACAACGGGCTAATTGTGTGATTATCTTACATTTCAAAACTTCAGGTAACTCACTACATGCTGTGTGGTTTCGTCCTTAGTGGACCCGACAGCACTTTTACTTCTTCCTACAACTAATGGGCGTATACAGGGGCTACATCCTGTATGACTTCAATTTCTTTGTGTCACTGACCGCTGATGGAACCTACTGAAAAACCGACGAAACGTCCCTGTTCAGACCATCTATCCGATGCACCCCCCAAAAAACGTAGACTACCTACTTTTGTCGATGGCAATGACGATCACTCCATCGGACTCACTGGATGGCAGGTGGGTTTTCAATGGTTTGACTTTTTGTAGTATCGTTTAGGAGATATTTTTTGCAGTTCGTTTCATTTTTCAGGAATTTTTTCAGGCTTCTACTCATTCTTCATAATCTTCGAGAGCACACCAGTGTACAAAACTGATGCTTCGCTATTGTACAACCATAGTTTATTTGAAACCCTCATTGTGAAGAAGAGAGTGAAGATGGAGGGACAGGGAACTTATTCTAAGCCTACCACAATCCTTCTGAGATACCCACACCTGCATACACTTAGTCAGACTGTTTGGACAAAAAATGACAACAAAAACGCCACTGACATCGATCAGTGGTCATATCTTGGTGCGTTGCACAGGTGGGTCGCGCGAACTCCGTCGTTGGAAGCGAGTCCCACCGATGGTACACAGAATTATCGTAGTTGCTTTCATGTCCCCTTTGTCAGACCACAACCATGCTTGCACCACCCTTAACTGAGCACGGAAATCAGAACACTGTTCGGCAAACAACGGTTTGGCATGTACAACACATGTCCAAACCATCGTAGTTTTCTCCGCTTAACACTTTCGTGGACCAAAATCCTTTTTGTATAGCTGCACATAGTTTTCCAATTGCCTGGTTTCAGGTTTACCAGCAGCAGCCTACAGGAACCGTGGCTCTGAGACAACGGTTGTCGGTAGGTGATGTTTCGGTATGGTAGCACGTGGCCAAGCCACCGCAGTCGATAGTGCAGCAGAGTGATAAAGCAGTTAGCTCAGAGATTGTGCTGTTATCTTGAAATCCTGTTTCTGATAGGCAGGATATATTGATGTCAAACGAGTCTGGGGTGCGAATCTGTTATGTCTTGATGTACGGTAGTGCAACTCTGTGTCGGTCCCTTGGCTTCCTGCTCCACCCACTATGGTATAGCAAAAGGCACGGTAGCTGTACACAGCCCTTTATGGAGACAAAGGAAAATCAGTACAACTGTTTATATATAGGGTAGTCACAGAGTGTTCCACAAGGTCGTGCCAGAATGTCCGTGAGGGGGCGAGAACCGTCGAGTCAAGGTGCTTGACTCGGATTGGCTGGCATTCTGACCAATCAGGGCAAGCCTACGTCTGGCCCGTGTCCTGCACGTGACACATGCATCCAACTGATGTGATGTTCGGTCATTAGGGACGGCTGGCCCCCGAACACCTCCCCCTTGAGAGGGCTATCCAACCGACTGCTGCTTTGGATTCCACTGTGATGACTCATGGAGGTTCTGTCGCACGTCGGTCCGTCCCTGGGGCTGCCAGCATGCTGATCTGGAATCCGGTACCCTCC